AGAGAGAGGGGGGGGGAGGGGACTAAGTGACGGTGAATTCGTGAGAGCCGAGCGTGCCGAATTGTTTCCGCGGCATAATATAACGTGCGCGCACACACAATACGCCTGAAATCAATGTCGTGGTTTATTTTACTTTCCATCGTCGCGGGAGAGAAAACCCGATGCGGGTCGCGCGCCGCTCGGCGCGGGATCAGCGCCGGCCCGCTCTCGCCTCGAAAACCACTTTGCCGGGAGCTTTCGTCCCGATGCGGCTCGCGCGGAAAGCGGCCGTTTTCGCGGCGAGCTTGGGCACGGAGCGCGGCTCGGCGATTTCGCCGGATCGATAGCCACTTTTCACCGCGCGCGCCGCACGAAAGGGAAAGGCCGGAGGCTTGAAAAGTGAAGCTCGAAATCACGACGCTGACGTGGCGGTAATGAACGGTTACGAGTAACACGCGGCCGGTTTACCTGGAACCAGAGGCGCGTCGACAATTTTTTTTTCTTTTTTCCTCTCAAGTTTAACGTCACGCGAAAACGACACACTTTACTACCCGCGTTAAATCACACTGATTACCCGATCATTACCCTCTCGAACGTGGAAGAAAATTAAATACGCAATTTCCGTTGCCGCGAGTTGCAACACGAAAATCAATATCGAGAGACGGAGTGAGAAGGAGAGGGAGCTATGTAACTTGACCGATTCAGAATATTTGAAAGTTCGTAGGGTGACTGTGATGTACACGTATCGGCTTCTTCGTATAAAAATTATTCAAGACGACAAATGTCATGTCATTTCTGTATATATGATGTATATATCAATTCCCTCGCAATATATAAAAATAGACAAGACAGGTATGATTAATAAAGTATTTATAGAGTACCAACTTTATGACTCAATTTTCTTGCATTAATAAATTGACAGTGATAAATTGTAATTTCTTCCGAATATTTCGGTTGCCTTACATGGAACGCAAGCGGGGCCAGTGTGATATAAATCGGAATCGCGAATCCGTTCGAGGGAACGATCAGGAGGAAGGACCTTGACAGTCATAAAGGCGCGCAGCGCGGCGCGGCGCGGCGTGGCACGGCGTCGGCGCAGCGTCGTCGCGACGCTTCCACGACGCGATGGTTATCGTCGCGATGCGCCGTGATCGATAAACCGGCACAGCACCAAGCACGCCCACCCCGGCAGTCGCCGTATTTTCGCCTTGCGGTGCATTTAAATATTCATATCGGCCTCTTTCCACCTCGTAACGCCGTCGTAGCCGTTAAAAAGCCCGACGTGCATGTTCAGGACATTCCAGGAGGAGGCCACGGGACAGGGTAGACGAAATGGAATCCATCCTATCGATATTGCGGCATGATGAATAATAAAACGACACGAAGCCAATGGAGAATAATAGAATAAGAAATGCAGGCTAAATGAAGAATGTCTGGGGGATGTCATTATTATTAAGTAAAAAGTTAAGATGTCTACGGGTATTATCCGTGTCATGACACATCGTTAAATTTCAGCGTTTCGTGAACATTGCAATTTCATTCATCAAGGAGAAAAGCAACTTGATAACGGTCAAAGAGCAACTCGATGAAGAGAATTGCAGGAATTTAACAATTTATCATCAACACAAATAATATCCACAAATGTATTAACTTTTTGAAGAAAGTAACCGTAGAAATCTCAAAAGTATTATTATTATTATTATTGGTACAATAATAGGAAAATGAACCTGATAATGGTTGCTCCTCGCCCTGATAAAGGGAACTGCAATGCTCACAAAATTTATCATCACACGAATAATATCCATAAATATATTAACTTTTTTAAGGAAAGTAACCGTGGAAGGTTCAAAAGTATTACTATTCTTATTAATACAATAAGAAAATGTAATGAAGAATGTACGTCTCGCTAGCGATTACGCTCAGGATATGAATGGAGCATTACTCCTGGAGGAATACTCGGCACGAGAAACTGGATCTTGGTCGCTGCGCGTAAATGCGCATGTAAATGCGACTTGCCGTGAAAAGTTGAAAGTACCGCGTAAGCGGAGGATATACATAATTTACGATGTCCTTGCTGCGAAAACGGCGAACACTGATAATGTGCCTTACCGCGGCGAGGAGAAGCGGGAATTCCTTTCAGGGCTTCCTCGCCTATTCAACCCTAGACGCGGTCAAGGCCCTCCTCGGCTAAAAATAAGAAATCTAGGCAAAACTATCATTTTCCTGCGCGTTGCTAACGCACTCGTAGACAACATTTATTACCAGCATTAACGTTTCATAAGATTTCCAAAATTTGCAACTCAGCAATGAACTCTAACTCGGACGTAAAGACATCTTTTTCTCTTTTAATTTGACTAACAACTCCGAGTTTTTTCAATGTCTCGTAATGAGTCATATAACAATGTATATATCCAATAAAGACTCTCTTCTAGCTTTGTGACAAAAGCTTTTCACGTTTGCTAAAAATCCCGATACAGCACCGGCTAATCCGCGATGTCGTAAATTCTTATCACGACCAATCGCTCGCTCTCTCTCTCTCTCTCTCTCTCTCTCTCTCTCTCTCTCTCTCTCTCTCTCTCTCTCTCTCTCTCTCTCTTCT